TAAATCAGGTTTACTTATTCATTTGCTTCCAGCAAATGGACACGTTTTTGTCCTTCGTCCAAAAGTGCGTTAATCCCTTCGTAGCTTATTAGCACCTTGTGCCCGTGCCAAGGTCCCTGTCAGGAAACATTTCTCTGTCTCTCTCCGGATTTGCCTCGTCCTGTCCAGAGTTAAATTATGGATCTGGTAAGCACAGCGCTGTCAGTTATTCCAGCATAGATGCACCGTGCCAAAAGTGCCCGAGGCATAGCCTGGCACCGGAACGGCCCCTCAAAGCACAAAGGCAGTGCTTGTTCCCAAACTTCGAACCCCTCGCTCATTTATGGATTTCTTCCTTCATCCATCTACTCCCCTGAAGGGCATCGTCTGGCGGCAAGCCTCCTCTGCTCGTCCCTGGTGCCGATCCAGGCAAAGCCTTCGATATCTAACACTGGCTCTTCTGCGCAAGTAAGTGTGGTAGGCTAGCACTAAAAGGCTCACTCACAAAAGCATGCACAAACACACCTCTCAATATCTAGACAGTTCCAAGGCAGCCAAGCTCTGAACAGCACTTTTAAAGGACTTTCATGGCTAAGAAAGTCATACAGAACTCGTCCGGCACTCTGAAGTTAGCGTCGTGCCCATATTAGGACCCCTGGGTCTAAAGTGTTTTTCTCTATGGGAAAAATGAATGGAGTCTTCCCAATGTTTTGTTATGTTAAACAAAACTGCTCAAAATATTAATTTTTCCCTCAAATATCTTTGAATCCTGTGAAATATAAGGTTGTTTAGCAGTCAAAATATGAATATTGCTACATACATGCTACATGCAAGCTAATACTTGACGCAACAATGAATGAAGTCTACTCTTAAATTTAATCACAATTATATACCAAAATCTGCTACTTGACTGTAGGCCACCACTGCTAAAACAAATTAGCTACCAAAAATATAAATATTGGGAACATTTCTGTTTAGACCTCTGAAGTTGTGCGTCATGCCCGTATTAGCAACTCTGGGTCTAAGGCAAAAATGCTGGAGGGGTTTCAAAAATACCTGCTATCACACTGGATCCTCGGAATTACGAGCTTTTTAAGGAGATAAAATAGCAACACTACATTCATCCAGCCGGCATTCCTACCCACTAAAATTATGTTTGATGATAAGAGGGTTACTGTTAAAAATCTATCCTATTACATAAGAAAACACCAGCAACACCTAATGTACTCAATTACTATCAAAGCCAGTTTACTACCACAATTAACAAAACTCGCTCATTGTTAGGGGTGTTTTCATACAGTTTCCTGTCAGTTCAGTGTGCAGCAGTGTCAGCTCGCATGTCGTAAAATTTATATTGGATCCAGAAGATCCAGCAACAGAGGAAAAGTGTTCGTACCACAAATTGTAACGATTTTAGAACCACTTTAACAACCGTCGGACTAGATGGCGCTGATTTTCAGAAATCCCATACATTTTTCCCATAGAGAAAACCAGACTGGACCAAAAGGAGTACAGAATTAAGACTGGCTTCAGAGGTCTACAGTTATTGGCTTTAGTTTTATTGTCCAGGACTAGGTTCATATTGCCCAGAACTAGGCTTAAGTCCTACAGTCCAGGACTAGGGCCAGGTACTTGGAAAACTATGCAAAGACCCTTCCAGTCTCCTTCCTTGCTCACCTTAAACAGCTTCTCTCTGCTACATCTGTACTCTACTCCCCAAAAAGCCCTCGATGAATCAATAAACAATCGTCGGAAAGCGAGCAAGGACATTTGGCCGGCATGCGGAATACTTGAGCGGGCCCGTGGAAGACTACACAGCATGAGCAGTCCCATGCCCCGAGTTCAGCCATCCCGCTACAAAGAGAATCCCGAATCAGATGGCTCGGGCTCGGCACATCCGACCGCGTTTGATCTCGGCAGCGCGGCGTCCTAAGTGTATATAAATAGATGCATTAGCACAAATAAAATAGGAGAGGGTAGATCTCTGGACATCTGCTTTAGAAGAACACTTCTAAAGTGGAGTAAGGTGGAGTAAGGAGGCTGGGGGCCGGCCAGGCCGCAGAGAAGGGAGAGCTGTATCGAGAGATTTACAGAACAGTGGACATGCTGCATGAAAAATGTAGCATTGAGGGGAAAAAACGGCACCAAGAACCGATGTTGCAGCTCATGCGCCTTTCATTTCAGCCCATCTCACAGCTTTGGTGAGTGCTTTGTGAGGCGTGTATTGTGGGTAGATTGTCGGGAGGGGGTGCTCATTGTCTTTGAGCAGCATGTTTTCACAGGCCTAGCACAGCAAGTTAATGGGGAAACCTTGTGGGGGGTGGGCTTAAAAAAAAAATGGGGGAGGGATGCGATTTTTGCACTCAATGCTGCCGAGCCCATGGTCATTAAAGGACGCCAGTCAAAAGGTCAGGTCTGATCGAAACACCCTTTGACAAGTGCAAATGGGATTCCACGCCACCAGCACCTCCAACACCATCCCCCACCACACGTGCATGTTTGCAGAAGCTTGTCAGCGTGGATAACGCTTATCTGGGGCTACCTACCGAGGACTGGCTTCTTCCTGCAAAGCTGCTCGCGACAGGCTGTCTGCAGCAATCGACTTTAGCGGAGCCGCACTGTCCTGGCCGGTTAAGGCTGAGAGAGACCATGCTGTCCTGCTACGGAGCTGCACAGCTGGGCGTGAATACACCCCCAAAATACCTCCCTACCTTCTGACTTCTACAGTTGTGCTGGTTGAAGAAACAGGCCCTGTGCATTTAGACTCCTTTCCACACATTTTGAAAGCTTTTAGATCCAAACCTCACCGCATTAATGTGTGAACTTCTCTCTCTCGGAATGCTGAGGCTATTATTTCGGCTACATATTTACAGCATTGCACTGAGAACGTTAATTATTACTTCCACTACAGATACAAGCGGGGTTAAATATTTAGTGAGCTCCCTCATAAAAGTGCCAAAAACCAACAGGGCCAAGAGTATCAGCTCTCAGAATGAAAAATGCTTTTCCATCCGGTCTTATCAACTCAGGAAACGCTCCGAAAGACGTGCGAAGGGAAACAAAAAAGGAGTCCTGCGGAAAAGACCAAAAGCAATTACGGCAACACTCGGGGCATCGTCCATTTGTCATATGAGTCGGAGCAAACCACCGGGGACTTGCGTGTGGTGTATTTGACTTGAGCAATCACCTTGAAAAATGACCCCACATAATAGGACGGTAGGAGGGGAATATTTCTCATGTTAAGTAATCTATCCACAGAGACCGCCTCACTTCTACATGACCTACACATGAAGAACTTGAAGCAGCCCAAATCGGACTGATCTGGGAGGAAGGGGGTGGGGGTGGGATGCTTTGTGCAACTTTTCGACCGGCTAGATGCCTGAACTCCACGCGCCGGCGTCCTCTGTGTGAAGGTGTTCTTAGAAATTAACTTTGAAATGCATGAAATATGCAGCGCTCTCTCTGAAGGAGACGGGACTGACACACGCTACCTCCCCGCCATGTATAATTCATCGCAGATATTCTAAACCTGAAATAGAACAATCTATCCTCCCCCCCTCCCCTTTTCCCAGTCCTCGGAATTGATTGCGAGATGAATATTTCAAAGAATTACACAACAGAGCAGGAGAGGAGACAGCGAGAGAGAGGGAGCGAGAGAGAAGTCCGGAGTGGGCTGGTGATTACTTTCGCCCCTCTTTCAGGCAGTCGCTGATTAGACCCTCTCACAGGCCACGCAGTCAAGCACCAGATTTGCATCGTTTTCTACATGATTTAACAGTTACGTGCACCGGGGGGCCTCAAAGACTGAGACAGATTCAAAGGCATTCTGTCCAGAGAAGAGATGCTGGCCTCTGTGCACTAAGAACAACTGTCCATATAAGGATGGGAAATCTTTAAATGCTGCAGACGATCCTCAAAATCCAAGGTTTATCTTCTAAAGTTTGGGCCCATAACTAGAGGTGGCCTGTCAGTGTTGGGCCGAAATCAGGAGAAAATGCCAGACCTGAAATCTGACATGGATTCGATTCAATCCTGTAACAAATCCAGCCTGTAATAGCACACTTTCATTGTCATGTCATGTTGTTAGCTGTGTATTTCTTCGTGTAGGGTAGTATTTGGGTAGTTTTTGGACGGTTTGAGTGTGATAGTCTACTTTTTGGTGAAGTGCTCCAGTTAATAACAGCTCATTTTAAAGAGCAGAACTTTTTAAAAAGAATATATCAGATCCCTATAAGTATCAGCCACTACTGATTGTTCTAGTAATAGTAGGTTAATATGAGCTATGAACAATACATTCAGCATGTGCACAATTACAGAAAGCAGAGAAATGTTATAGCGAATTATACACTGCTATAGTGATTCGTAATGATAGCATTATTCAACAAGATCTGTGGGCGGCCATCTGAGTAGGTGAAAGTCTTTATATCACATTGGTAATGACAGAGCTCCCCCAGCATGTATGCACACATACATACATACATACATACATTCATGGATGTGTGTCGTTTTTCGGGTTTTGACATAATTCGAAAATGCCTGTTGACCTTCACATTGTTTCTAAATTTCATGAAGAATGGACCAAAAGAAACGGCCCAAAATGACAAAAAAATATTTTTTTTTTTACTGTTCACATTCATTTTCTATCAATTTCAGTGGTCACCAATCATGCCACTGGACATCTACTACCCTACAGATCCAGCTAATCCACCACACCACATCAGTTCTAGCTAATTATTGTCTTCAGAAGTGCCTGAATACTTGGATAAAGTGGGCTTGGACACCAAACCTGCAAAAAGGTAGATTTTTCCACTCTCAGTTGGCCCAATTCTGTCAACTTATTCCACACAAGCAGTGTGTTCAGATTTAAGTGTATATCTTTTCACACAAAAAAGTGACACCCCCAAAAAAACAGCATGTTATTGAGTAAGACATCTGCCTTTGGGGTGCGCTTTGAGGGGTCAGCGACCAGCTCTAAACTCTCCCCTTCGCTCAAGTGTGGGACAGAAGAGATCTTTACTCACAGTCTCTCCGTGTTCCGGGGTATATTCCTGGGAACGCTCTTGAGCCCAAGCCCGTGGCAGTCCACGGTGGTGCCACTGCAGGTGCACAGCGCGGGACAGGCGCTGGAACGGCCGCAGACCAGGGCGCAAAACAGCAGGAACAGCGGCGCCCACTTCCAGCCTCCGGAGTAGCCTCTCCTGGCCATGATCCGCACGTCTGGCGCTCCCTCGCGCTCCGACGCTTTCTTCTGCCTTCTGTTCTCTGGAGCTTTTTCCTCCCAAACCTCTCACAAAGCCGGCGCACCACTCTCTACTACTGCTGCTGCTGCTGCTACCAGCAGACGTCCCAGTCGCTGCAGGCTGAGCAAACAAACCACAGCGTGTGGGAGAGAGACAGATTTGACTGTGTGTGGAAGGGGGAGAAGAAAAAAAAAGAGAATAAGTGTGGTTTTGTCCTCAAGTAGGGAAAGGTGAATGGACACCAAGTCTTCTCCTGTTCTCCTGTTTGGTGGTCCTCAGGCCGGGGGAAGGGGGAGAAAGAAAGAAAAAGAGCGTGTCCTCTTCTTGTCGTGCTTGACTTCCTAAAGAAAACTCTCTCTCTGTCTCCTTGTCTCTCTTTGTGGAGTTGCTTCTCTCTCTCTCAGCGTCTGCGTCTGGCTCCCTCCCTCTCCACTCCTCCACTGGCTGCCTACGGAGAGAGGAACAGGGGGAACGGCAAAAAAAAACACGCTCTCTCTCTCTCTCTCTCTTACACTCACACACAGCAGTCATCCATCACAAGGATCTACAAATAGCAGCCTCCAGGCTCCTCCCACCTCCCCTCCCCTCCGCCCACTTACCCCCCTCCTTGCCCAAACCCAAACGCACCTCCCCGCACACCCACCTCTCACAGCACCCTGCCTGAACTCCCCCTCTCTCCCACCCCCCACTCCAGTCCCTCAGGCGTCCCATCACAACTCAGAGCAGCTACTCCCCCCCAACAGACACACACTCCTAACTCAACAAAACCCACAATGCAGCACCCCGTCCTGAGACGCCGGACCCCCCCCCACAAGAGGTCGACAGCAGGAGGGAAAACGTGATACATTGTGATGCATCAATCTGAACGTGGTTATTGAATCGCATTGATTTGGCACTGTATTGATTCTTATGCTACCCAATAAAATATGTATTGGTTTGGTATTGAAGGTCTATTGTCTATATTTCAGTGCTGTGCAAACAGTACCAACAATCATTTGTGTAATAATTAATGACATATTAGTAATTTAAACATTAGTAATGGAGTCTAATCAATATTTTGACTACAAAACAATCAAAATTTTAAAGGCTGAACAATAAAAACGGATTTAACTGAACAAAGTTAAAGCAATGTATAATGTATAGCCTTTCAAGGGGTCGAAAATTGGCAAAGAATAAATCATGGAATATACAAAGTGGCAAAGAAATGCGTATAAATAAATACATATGCCATACATCGGAGCAAAAAAAATATATACACTTCCATTTTTCTCATTTTGTTTTTTCGACTGAATTTGAAAACGTCAGCCGCCCTCAACGTTGGGTGAAAATTTCATAACAACCAGAACAGAAATGTTTCAATATTGTGGAAAAAAAAACAATTTTCTATTAACTTCCATTCAGAGTTAAGATAGTTTTTTCCTTCTCCTGTAAAGTTACCATTTTAGAGATATGAGGATGATCTGTGGCTCTCGTTCTTGCTATTAAAGAGATTAGCAGCAAAAATGTATATATGCGTATCACTGCTTTCGGAAGAAAACCTCATATCTGCATTTTTGTCGTTTTTTAGTTTTTTGACATAATTTGAAAAAGCCTGTTGCTCTTTACATTGTGTGTCAATTTCATGATGAATGGACCAAAAGCAATGACCCAAAATGACTTGGGGTACCGTCTGGTTCCGTTGACTTACATTAAAGGTAAAGTAGGTTTTTTCCTTCTCCTGTAAAAGGTACCATTTTAGAGATATGAGGCTTTCTTCCAACAACAGCGATATTCATCATGCAAATGCTTGACTAATCACTGACGATTCATCAAGAAGGCAGATTTTATTTCATTTAATTTGATGATTAACTTTAGACCTGATTCAGTGCATCTTTGAGACAACACAGACAATAATTTACACCAGAACTGTATTCAAATCAAACTGTTGTGAGGTCAGGAGGGATCAGGTATAGTGTCTATATCACCCCCCCACCAAACCTGCCCCACCCTGAGAAGGCAGGGCAGAATCATATGCTGAAGATAAGAAGAGAAGCAGGGGCTGCCTGGTTATAAAGAGGAAGACACAGAGCTTTTATAGGAGCAGGGCAGAGGAAAAGTGGTGGGGAACTAACGGTGGAGTCCGGTCTGATGGCTGGAACAGGCGAGAGTGAATTAGAGAGAAAAAACTCTGGCCAGTATCATATCAATTGTCTGGCAATGCACAACGCTGACCTGAGGTGTCTTAAGCAAAATGAGCCAACAGAACCATTTATTTTGTGTTTTAACGCATAACGACCCTCTTAATGAAACAGCTGCTCGGTTTAACAGCCGTGTTCCACAAAGGGAAAATATATCAGCTACAAAGTAAGCAACCATGGACCACAATTTCTGGGATAGAAAGAGTTTCAAATAGCCCAAACAGATAAACAGACCTCACAATGTAGAGGCGTAATCTATCTGTGGCAGCACTTGTGTGGAGGTGCACCAAAAGGAAGAAATACTGAGGAAACCGCACATTAATCAAGGGACTGAGCGGCTAACTCCTTAAAAGCTCTCATTTCTGGACATTCTCATGCTTTACTAAATCACAACTCTGCAGACCAGTGATGGGAAGTTGGATTCAGTTTGGTGGAACCAACTCGAGTATCCAAATCAGTGATTCGTTGATTCACAATTCAACTTTCCCATCTGTAGAGCTGAGATTGGCAGGAAATTCCACTGATTTGCCCAAAATGTCTATATAATTCAGTTGTTGAGGCATAAAAAAGTTATTCAGTTGTTCAGTCAGCAGGGATGTCTACAGCACAAATATAGTTATATATTATATATATATTTAAATATAGTTATAGTGACCAGTGACCCTATATGTCTTTTTATATGTAATTTGATATGTTAATGGTGAAATAGTGGAAGCTCTGAAAAAACTGTGTTTTTCTTTGTGGCCTGCGTGAACACCTCATGAGCCATGAATGGATTCTTTAAACTATGTTTAAGGCCAAATGCTCATCATAAAGCTACCGTGAAACAATGTCTGACACATAAGGTAGTGCATTCATGACCATTTCATGTAGTAACTTACTGTGAGGGAGCTTTTAGAGGTGGACATCTGGTTCCTATCACCACCACTGTGAACAGTTCTCTAGAACGAAGTATTTCACCCCAAACAACCCTGTTTACATCTAAATATTTTTAATACATTTTTGAAAAGTCAGCAGTTTCCCTTTCATATTGTTAATAACAGATTCATAATATTTACAGTGCCATTTAATATTATGATAGCATGACATTAACATACTGCAACAGTATGACTGATTTTTTTTTTAAGAATTACTAGATATTGTGGACGTAAACGTTGCACTTTGTTCGATTCAATTTGACTCGTGAATCAATTCGTCTGGTTCACAGAAAAGAAGCGCTTCAAAAGAATCATTCGTTCATGAATCGAATTCACGACTCCGGGTTTCGACTCCGCTTACTTTAAAACCAAGACAGCTCCAGAGCCGGCGATAAAGGGATAATGCAGATATTAAACCATCCTAAACATAGTTTACCCAGCTTTTAGAGTAACGTAGCTGCTTCAACAAGAGCCTCGGAGTGACGTAGCTCCTAAACAAATCATTACTGTAGTCATAATTATTTGAAAATAAACCGTTATTAGCCAGCTAACCAGATTTAAAGCGAAGTTTTCACTCCGGAACCGCTGAAATGCTGTCTTGTTCCTCTTCCTACGAAGCTAAATTTGGCTTGTTCGCCAGTTTCTTATGCTAATTTCCCGTTCCACCTTAAATGATGCAGCAGTACAGGCGCGAGAACGTAACTGCAGCACTATTTAAGGTGGAACGGAACATTTTATTAAGAAGCAGGCAAAAACAAGCCAACTTGAGCTGTCATACCCCATAACATTGTGAAAAATATCCTTTACTAATGTTTTTGTTTTCGCTCCTTTTACATCTTTTTTGCGACCCTAATGATGAAGACAACGAAGAGTCTCAGAGTGAATCTTCGGTCCGAATGTCCCTTCGACCAATTACAATGAAAAAACGCGGAGTCGACTCCAAGCGATTCGACTCTTGGAATCACTAGCCAAGAGTTGGCCCGAACTACCAGACGTGCTGTGGGAATCGACTCTTTGGGAATCGACTCCCCAACGCTACGACTACGCATCGAGGTGTTGTTGTGGTGCAGGCTTCTCACAGCCGCTCCAGTTGGTCTGGACACCTCCACATTTGTTTTATGTAGGACAGCTATGATGGGGTTTTTACAAGGTCTGAACAGTTTTATGAACTAGTTTTCCTATCAAATGTTCCTCACTGTGAAATAAAAAGCTGTCTCTCCTATTTTACCTCAGGTTTTGGCGGGAAGTCTGTTGCGCAAAGCCAGCATTTCTGACTGACTTGATGACAGATTTCTCCTGTGAAACTGAAGTAGAAAAAACCTCAGTACTAAATAATCTGAGGGAAAAAAGTGCCAGGACAGTACAAAATATGCACAAACAAGGTCTGTGAGTAGAAACAAGGTATTTTTCCTTGTTTACAGACACTCCACTCCTCTTGAATGCAGCTAAAAGTTAGCTTCAAAGCTAAAACAGTCACAAACATGAGTTACATAAGTTAAGCTAACGCCATACTGGAAATAAGGAGCAAATGACAATGTTTAACGGTGAATTGAGGGGAAATATTCCTTCAGTCTTTGTGAAAACTATAAATAAATTAATGCTTTTCACTTAAAATGTGTTTGAAATGTAATACTGAAGGTTCTCCAGTCAGCCCCATGAACCTTACAGCGATACGGTTTATATGCTAAAACATAATTAACACCACACACATTAAAAAGATGGTTCTTCAAGGGTTTTGTAGCAGAGGGAATGGTTCTATTTAGAGCCATGAGTAATGGAGAGCGAAGGCTGTTTGCATGGTGAAATGGTTCTTCAGATTGGTGGACAATGTGTTGTATATGGGTCTATATAGAACCTTTTTGAAAATGGTTCTACACTCTTAAAAAGATGGTTCTTCAAGGGGTCTTTAGTAAGGAAAATGGTTCTATTATGAACCAAGCACCCTCAAAGAGCCTTTGCCATGATGGAGAACGTGCTGTAGATGTAGACTAACCTGTTTGGGTGTTATATAGAACTCTTTTCAAAAAGGTTCTATATAGAACCATCTAGAGCACATTATAAAGAACACTTTAAA